AGTCAGCAACAGAAATATAGTATTACCTTCAGATCATATAATCAGGAAAATGGAGAGCAGAGCCCATCTCACTTTGGTCAAGGCATGAATGAAGATTCAAAAGTACAAAATAGGGAAATATTCCAGAAAATGACCAATTGGCAACAACTAAGACTCCTAAATTTTTATATTCACTTACATATCTCACTTGTAAAGTTTTAATCAAATTCAAATAAAAACCTAATTGGAAAGAGGAAAGCCAAAAGGAAAGCTATGTAGGTCAACTGACAACCAATCAATCCTCAGGCTCTGTCTCCTATTTGAGGAAAAACTGCTAACTTCTCGACACAGGAAGACCATGCAGCAAGCTCTGCCCTAACAGAGTCCCCACCTGGCAGCCAGGTTTTGTCAAGCAAATTTTGAGAATTCTCTAGCTTCCCACTTTCTATCTAATTATAGAACTTTACAAAAACCATTTTTTCTCTTCACACACACATTCTCTCTTTCTCTTTCCCCCTCTCTCTAAATCCTTCTGTGTTATGATACAACAGTAAGAGGTATGGATACATTTGACAATTTTCCCCAGAACAGAATGATAAATACAAAAAGGAAGACCTCTCCTCTGTACAGTTGCACTATTATTCTGACAGTGATAATCTCTACATTAAATAATAACAGTATAACACACTTTCCCTATAGGAGCTTAAAAGTATTTACAATATGTATACAAACTATATTACAAATATACATGCCAGAACCTAACCACCCAAATAAATGCTGGCAGGTACATACGTCAAAATAGTTTTGGAATTCCTCTTTGGGGAATGTCTGTGGTATACGTTATTCAACTAAAATCCACAAATAAGATTCTTTGCTAGGCTCTGGGGATGCATTATGGTATGTTACTATGAAGCTCATGATAGAATAGCCTCAAATCAACTATTAATGACTGATGAATGATTTAATGAATTGACAAATATTCACAAATGCTTACTATATGCCAGGCACCCTTCTAGACCCAGGACACACAGCATGAACAAAATAACTACCTTGCCTTCATGAAAAAGATGAACCACTTGAAAAGTATAAATCTCATTTTTAGAAGTGATAAAAAGTTATACGGCACCATAAAGAACTTGAGTCAAAACAATGCCATAATGGAAAGGACTACGTTTGTTGTAAAAATGATAAATTTGCTCTGAAGCCAGAAGTTAAAATGCTTTTAAAAATAAATGTCACTGATATGATTATATAAACCTGTACTATGGCATCTTTAAAGAACAACTTCAACCAGATGTATAAATTCACTCAGCCACGCCCCTTTCATTCTATGGATGAGGAAACAAAGGCCCAGAAAGGCTGAGTAACCTCCTATGGATACACAGCTAGTCAGTGTCAGACCTCCCACAGAGCCTTAGCAGTCTCCATTCCAGCTCAGTGTTCTTTCTAGGAAAGACAACTTTTTATTCAAGGACAAGGACGTTAGCCTTTATGTCTCAAATATTTTACAACCTTCCAAGCTCAGTAAGGTTTACATGCAGTCACAAATTGTCAGACCAGGAAACTGCAGTAAAAAGAGGTCAGAGTAACTTTCTACTAAGTGAATAAGGCAAAATTGTGATTGTGACTTATCATGCACTCTTTTTTATACAATCCTCCTGGCAGCTCTTTTCTACTTGCCTACTCTTCTCCCATCATTTTGGGCATTTAAAAAGTGTTTTGTTTTCTTCAACTACTACAATAGCACTATTCCTGTTAAAGCCACCATACATTTAAAATCAAGGAAACTGACAGCTTTTTCAGTTTTGGATCATTTGAACTACAAAGTCTTTTTTCAGCTTTAAAATTATGTGATCCTTGGTGCTTTTAATACCCTACGATTCAATTAAATAACTACTTATGAAGCACTTAAGAGTGTACGAAACATACTACACAGATTTTTTGCTCTAACCTTGCCTTCAAAGATCTCAGTATCATGTTGAGGCTATCAGCATATCAGAGTGCAAGCCAGATCAGGAACTAGCTACCGTGGGCAAAGAAGTGAACCTGTCCAAGCCTAGATGGAGAGGTGATTTTCAAACTGTGCTGAAGTATTTCCATAAATATTTGATGCCACAACTACTGGCTGAAGGAGGAGAGGAGTCAAGTGACTTGAGCCAACCTCACCTGTTCCCACCCAACCTCCCTCTCCAAGTTCAGCCCTAAAGTGGTCTGCTGCTTAAAAAAAAAAATCAAAATCCACTCAGAGAACTTAAGGACTACTCTAAAATTCTGTGATAACCTGTTATTGTTTTTCATCCATATTTTAATCCCCGATATCTTTGTCAGTGATGGTGAAGAAGTAGCCTCTCCCACTATGAGATTTATAGACTACACGAAGACTCCTACTCACTATAAGTATTCTATTAGTACATAAAATCTGGCTCTATTTTCACTTTTCTCTGTGGAATAACTAAGGCATACCACCACTGACTCTAACTTTGTAAAACCACTCCCAAAATTTCTCTTAGGGAATACCTAGGTAGTCAGGACAGATTCATTTAATGTGAGATATTTCTTCTCTCAATACAAACAACTAGGCTTCCTGCCGTCTTTCTCACATTATTTTATGCAAATACAGGAACTGTTCTATTTGCCACTGTCAAACAGAACAGTTTCCAAACTGTCGCACCCCTCTTCTCAGCAGATGGCTTATTTCTTACTGTACAGAGAAGGCTGAGGCTTTCCCCTACAAGCAGAAACAATTTTCCCCTCCTTTTTCTTAAGAGTTCTCTGTAAACTTCTCCTCTGTTGGTTAATCCTTACTGCTAATTAATCCCAATCCCTAATTGCCTTGCTTCATCAATTATGTTCTTTCTGATTTGATAAAGACATTCTTCCATATAATAACCTAAAAACCTGTTCAGTCTTAGCCTTCTCATTACTTTATCCAATTCTTTACTATACTATGGAGGCTCTATGGCTTATGATACATTGTCTTTAGCTATTGCTGACTGACACTTTAGGAAGCAGCTTTAGGGAAACTATTATATTTTTACCATGGGTAACTTATAAAGATATTGCTCCATCCCTCTAAATGACACTACATGAGAAATTTCTTTCCTGTGCAATTTAAGAAAGTTTAGCTTTCCATGATGACCTTGTAGGTTTTCATCTTATGATGAAACTATATTTCATCACATTTATTTCACATATATTTGACCACATTTTTTTCCCGTTGATCTGGCTACAGGGAAGCTCAGCATCAAATGTGCAGGCCAATTTTAATAAATCTGAGAATCTCACTCATGTATACCTTACATAATTTCATGCTGAGTTTCCATTTTATATTTTCAGTGGCTTTGATTTTAAATTCTTTTCTATTTCATGTAAATTGCCTCAGATTCCTCATGATATAAGATAAGGTATAAATAAATAAGCTACGGTATTTCCAAACCCACTGTGTAATATATGTGCTTAATAAAGACTTGTGGGGTGGCTGGCCCCGTGGCCAAGTGGTTAAGTTTGCGTGTTCTGATTCGACAGCCCAGGGTTTCACTGGTTTGGATCCTGGGCGTGGACATGGTACTGCTTGTCAGGCCACGCTGAGGCAGCATCCCACATGCAGCAACTAGAAGGACCCACAACTAAAATATACAATTATATATCGGGAGGATTTGGGGAGAAAAAGAAGAAAAAAAAAGATTGGCAACAGTTGTTGGCTCAGGTGCCAATCTTTAAAAAATAAAATAAAATAAAAAAGACTTGTGGAATTAAAATTTTATTTTCCTATTAAAAAAGAAAGCAGAGGAGTGTGGCTAATTAGATCATTTGGTCTTAGGCCATCAGGCATTTTTCATTTTATTTCTATTGTACATATTATGAATCCATACTCTAAAAATAGTCTATTTGCCATTATGTTAATGAAATCAATGAAAAGTAACCTTATTTAAATAAAAAATACTTTTCATTCTTTGAGTATACTGGAATTCTTCTTTGTTTAATTGTTTCCAATTAGATAATTTTTCCTCTTTGAACACAGTTATGTGATTGATGGCTCTATAAAAAATTAAAATATAACTATAGAAGTAACTATGAGTAAAGACTGCGGGATTCTGAAAACAGCTAAAAGCAAAGTTATGACACAAGTTCTCTGCGTTTGAATGGAAGTCCTGTTAGATTAGAATCTATGTCTGTGATATTAGGCTTCCAATTCCTATTCTCGACTGCTTTTTCATTATAGTAGGCAACTTGCTTTCTGGAATATCATTCATTCAACAAATAAGTCAGAAACATGGAATTTCTTTACCCCATGAAAGTGTGCTGTGAGGAAAGCCTACTATCTGTTTTGTTGCACAACCCTGAAGATTCACCACCTCTAAGAACACAGTCGATTCTCCTTATGTGAAGTAGTTACGTTTTATAGTCACTGCAAACATTGAAGTAGCTAATCCTGAACCCTTGTTCCTAGGGGAAATACAGGGTTGGGTTACTGCAGGCCTCTGGTCACAACATGTTCTTCAACTGATCAGTACATAAGCTTGTCTTATGTGTGTTTCTCTGTAAGGACAACACGTCAGCACCATGCTTGGGAGTCATTTTAAACATCAAAAAGCACACAAATGTGAAAAACATGGCACTCAAAAGACTGGGAAAAGTCACTTGTTTACAGTTTGAGAGCAGAAACAAGAAGGCACAGCATCACCAGGAATGTGGGTATTGGGCAAATTAAATTTGTCATAGCTCTGTACATGTCCACGAGAGTACTGTTGAGTACTAACTTTGGAGTTACAAATAAATTTTAGGAAGGAAAAGAATCTGCAACTACACAATCTGTGAATAGTGAGGATCAACTCTATATAAGTCGAATATTTCAGTGCCGTCTCTGATTTGATTGCCACCAAAAGACAGAGATCAGGAAAGCTCAAATAAATATTCTTCAGTTACTATTCAAACTTAAAAGAGTTTTGACTAGAGTGCTTCAAGAAGTAAGATGTTTGAAGCTTTCACAAGTTGGTATTGTTAAAAATGTTGTTTCTTACCTGATATATTCTAAAAGGTATGTAACGAAATCCATTTTCTTCTGCAGGATATTCCATGAGTTTCCGATTGATGGCCCAAAACTGGTCAAATCTATCTGTAAAGGTAAATTATTTGTCATTAAAAATGAACAACATTAGAATTTAATATCTCACACAAAGAGATCAAAGTTGTTAAATATCTTCTTAGAAGTTGTGAAAGGGCTTCATTTATATATTCTTTTTTCTTAAACTTACCTTGCCATAACTAAACATAAAGCAAAATATAAAATCAATTTTTTCTACATTTTGCTTCCTCTTCCCAGATATTTGCAGACATTTTTTTCTCGTAAGAGAAACCATGAACAGATTATGACTACTTGTGGTATCAAGGCAAAAAAAATCAGAGACGGATGAATGTCTTGATTTCCCTGGTCCTACTGTCTACATTACAAAGGCACAACCTAAATTTTAACAAGAATCTGTTTCAAGAAAAAAAGTCAAAATACCAAACAGTAAACATTAAACAGCAAAAAAAGATAAAATTATAGGAAAAGCTTTGAAAGAAATGTGGAACTGACACTTAAGAAATGACTTTCAATTGCAGGTTAATCTCAGACTGATTAAACAACTCCTTTTTAAATTTTTCAGTCTCAATTTAAAAAACCTCACTTTACTGAAATATAATTCACATACTATAAAATTCACCCTTTTAAAGTGTACAATTCGGTGGTTTCTAGTATATTTGGAGTTGAGCAACCATGAGCAACATCTAACTTCAGAACACTTTCATCCTCCCAAAAAGAAACCAGTACCCATTAACAGTTACTCCCTTCCTCCCTCCCCCATCTCCTAGAAATCACTAATCTCTATCCTATTCCAGATATTTCGTATAAATGGAATCATACAATATGTGGTCTTTTGTGCCTGTTTTTTTTTCTTAGCTTATTTTCAAGTTTCATTCATGTTGTAGCATGTATCATAACTGCATTCTTTTTTATGGTTAAATAACACTTCATACAATTTTTTTGCTTACCCTTCATCATTTCATGGACATTTAGGTTCTTTTCACTTTTTGGCTATCATGAATAATGCTACTATGAACACTCATGTATAACATTTTGTGTGGATACATATTTTCAATTTTCTTGGGTATACACCTAGGAGTGGAACTGATGAATTATATGGTTAATGTTTAATTGCCATATGGTAACTATGTTTTCAGGAGCTGCCAAAGTGTTTTCCAATGAGGCTGCACCACTTTACATTCCCACCAGCAATGTATAAGGGTTCTAATTCTTCCACACCCATGTCAACACTTGTTATTGTCTGTCTTTTTCTATTATAGGCATCCTAGTTGGTGCGAAGTGGTATCTACTTATGGCTTTGATTTGCATTTCCCTAATGCGTAATTATGCTGAGCATCTTTTCATTTGTTTACTGCTCGTTTATATATCTTCTTTTGCGAAATGTCTATCAAATCCTTTATACCCCTTTTAATTGGGTTGTTCGTCTTTTTATTGTTGAGTTATAAGAATTTTTATGTATTCTGGATACAAGCTCCTTATCGGACAAATGATATACAAATATTTTTTCCCATTCTGCACGGTTTTTTTCAAGGTAACTCACCCAGAATCCTACCTTAAAATATTTTTTATACTCAGAAATTTATCTCAGAATCAAATCTCTGTAAAGCATGTGAATAGCTCCAGAATTTCAGCTCAGCTTGGTATTAAAAGCACATTCTCTACCACTATACTCATCTCGATCTAATTTACTGGCAAACGAGTGAAACTATGTGGGCCTCATAATTATATAAAAGAATAAAGTCTAGTTGTTTCTTTTTATACCACTGTGCTAGAAGACTGTGACAGGCTCTAGGCCTTCTCTACTCTCACCCTCAACTCCAGTCTGGGAGTTCATACTACAGTAGGACTGGGAAGATGGGGAATTTAGAATCTAGTCAGTCCAGTGTAATTTCACAGATTAGAAATAAGGTCCAGGTTGTGAGGAATTTAATAAAGAACCAAGACCAGATTCTTGGTCTTCTGACTCAAAGTCCACAACCGTTTTAACAGTTGTAACCACAACACTGCATCTCAATGCTAAGAGTAGCTCCTTTGACCACAGTCCTTTCAAATATGAATCAATTATTCTTTCAATGCTTTTTAAAAAGGATCTCTCTATCATCAAGTATCAAGCAAGAATGTGACAGCTAAATAAAATGAATCTTCATGCATACCTGAATTTTACTCACTGCCTCATCATTAAACCTTTGCACCTATCACAAGGCATGTATAACATATGCTCTTGAATCAAAGAATGAATAACAGAACACTACGTACATAACTTTTTATTGAAATAATCTGGGGTTCTAATCCTAGGTCTGCAACTAAATAGCTAGGTTACTAGAAACAAATCAATTGAAAATTGACTAATTCACTCATAGATGAAATAAAGCAGTTAGATTAGTTTCTAATGCCCCTTCCAAAAATAAAATTTTATAATTATTTAAGATATCCTCCTTTTTAAAAGTAGAACTTGTTAAAAACCACAAGCAAACCTTTATTAAAAGAGAGATGTACACTGTTTTTAACAGAGAAAAGAACACAGTGTAAAGCAGTGGTTCTTAACTAGGGAAGATTTTGCTCCCCAGTGGGTGAGGAGACATTTTTGATTGTTACAACTGTTATGTGGGTGTCACTAGCATCTAGTGGGTAGAGGCCAAGGATGCAGCTAAAAAGACTACAATGCACAAGACAGCTCCCACAACCAAGAATTCTCTGACCCACAGTGTCAACAGGGCTAAAGGAAGAAAAGCAAACACAGACAATAAAAAGTACAGAAAGGTAATTAGTAAAAAGTTTGTACACACTCACATGGCAAAAAACTAAACTAGAAAAAGGAATATTATTGTGCCTATTGCTGATGTTATGAATGTCAGCTCCAAATTCACCCTTCCATGTGTGTACTACCACAAGGGACAACTTCTTTAAGCATCTAACTGTGACAAGCACATTAAGCCTTCTCAATAGAGTGTAAAAGGACGCTGCAGGAGAAAGGGGCTCCTGCCTGCATAGGCACACTGAAGACCCCCTGGCCTTGTCAGCACCATGATTTCCTCTGGAGGCCCACACAGGCAGCTGGCCTGCAGTTTCCGAGAGCTGCCATTCCCTCTGCACACCCATGCCACTTGTTGCTGGTGGCCTGCACTCCAGATTGTCCTCACTGACCAGCAACTGCAGAACAGCAAAACAGTGAATTTCTCTACTAATCCAGTGGGCTGCACTATACCTTTTCCAACAAATTCTAAAGCCAGCCTTGGGAAGGGGCTCGTTTAAGTGTGACCTTCCTCCCTTAGCCCTAGGGTACACACACAGTTTTCTTATATCTTATAGTCACTCCTTTATCAGAGTTTAATAATTCTTTATATAAAACTTACCCTGTTTAACCCTCTGTGTGGTTTCTATCTCCTGACTGGACCAAGTCGATACAACTATGTTTAAAAGGAATAAAGACATAATAAAAGATCTATATTAATTAATATTAGTTTTAATATTCTTATAAAAATGTTATGTTCTCACATAATATAGGCATTTCCTCAACAATACTAAAAACATTCCAACCAAGAATAATCTAACTTTTATAAGTCAAAGTTATTAATAAGAAAGATACAAATAGCAGGAATGAAAAGAAAATTGGTGCTGAGATTGAGTGTATAACAAAATGTCTTCCATGCTGGATTTTGTCATATCACTTACCTAGTCAACAGTTAAAATAAAACAGGAGTAAGGGTGTATCACTACCTTTCTACATATTAATTAATCAAGGACATATTGGTCTATTACCAAGTAATATTTGAATATTGGAACTATGCTATTAGTTATTATAATTAAGTCATAAAATTAGTTATTTATCAGCCATAACAGTACTTACAAGTAAAAGCAACATAATTTAGTAATGTGGTACTGCTGGCTGGGCCCCTCAAACTACAGTCATGCGTCACTAACGGTGGGGACAGGTTCTGAGCAATGTATTGTTAGATGATTTCGTTGTTGTGTGAACATCACAGAGTGCACTTACACAAACCTAGATGGTGTAGCTTACTACACACCTAGGCTCCGTGGTTGACCCAAATGTCGTTATGCAGCACACTGTATAGGATAGAAGGGAAATGGCCTCCACATGCACATATACCCGCTTCCTGGTCTTTAACATCTGTGATGTCAAAAAGAACAGATTTACAGGATCCCAGATAAATGTCAGATCACAACAGCACAAGCACGACTTCAAGCATTTCTTTGAAGAGAAAAGCAAATGGTTGAAAATCACTACCGAAGGGAACTCACTCTTCACAAAATTTTGCATTTATCAACAGTATTATTCAAACCAGTACTACAAGTGGCCATGTAATATATGTAATGTTTTGACCAGAGGCTTTCAAAACATGTAACAAAAGCACATCCAAGTATAGCCCTTTTTGAATTAATTTCTTCATATATAATATGTTAAACATCTTTGTACAGCAAAACAGGAGGGGAAAAAAAATAGTAATTATTGGTAGAGTGCCATATGCAGGTGTGTTAAACAAGTGACCTCTGTCTTCAAACTAACTCATCTTCTGAGTCAAGTCAAATTATGTTGATAAGGCAGTCAGGCTGAACCCGGGCAGGGAGCGTTCTCTCTAAGGCAGCACGTCCACTGGGGCTTGGATGCTGCTCAACAGAACTACACCCACACATTTCCCTCAGCCCTTCTGTTTGAGGTTTAAAGTTACTGAGATGTATCTCGTGGGGAGGCCCTAACCAAAGCAAAGAAGCCTTGAAAAGACTTCAAGGCTCCTGAAAACTCATCATGAAGACAGAAGTAGGCAAGACCAGCAGGCTGGCCTCTGCATTAAGGTTCAGAGGAGTGCTAATCCTGGAGAAGGTAATCCTTGATCCTGTACACAAACACTCATCTTGGCAGTAGGATTGTACCCTGGGGGATTTGCTGTTTGAGTGAATTAAAAGAGCAAAAAAACCCTGGGTCCCAGGAAAGTTCTGCCTGGACTGTCACTGTCTCAGGATAAACTGAGAAAGGACGTTTACTCCTTTGCCCTACAAAAGAAATGCTACAGTCTGGAAAGTTGGCATCAAGGAGAATAATCAATATACATACATATTTAGAGTGCAATTAATTCTCTCTGTATTCACTGCTACAACTTTCACCTAAATCACTATCATTTCTCATCTGAACAATTGAGACAGCCTCCTAATTAGACTCTCTTCTTCCACTTTTATCTCCACTACACAACATCCAGAATGCTCTTTTAAAACATAAATTGAATCATATCATTAATACATTTCCACACATTTTTCTAATGGGCCATAAGAAACAATGCGTTATGACGTACTTTAACAATATGAGTATTTGAAGTTAAGTACTAGAATCATTATTTAAAAAAAAAAAAAAATCCACTGCACCTCCTTCTTGCCTGCAACTGGGGCAGACTGCTCCCTGCCCCAACTCTGCATACAAACAACCATAACACCAGTAATAAAATACAGTCAGCCCTCTGTTTCCATGGGTTCCACATGAGCAGATACAGAGGGCCAACTAAGCGACTTGAGTATACATGGATTTTGGTATCCTCAGGAGTCCTGGAACTAATCTTCCCAGGAAGACCGACTATGCCTCCCTTCTGGGAAGCAGGTGCCTGGCAGCCCCCTCTCAGCCCTTGGAACGCAGGGGGCTCCTGCATTCCTCTGAGATCTCGCTGCCTACCAATCTGCTTGCTTCCTAAGCTCCAACTCACGCTATTTTTCTTTTCTGTCCTAGGAAAATCCAAACTTGTTCCCATACTACAGTTTTAGCAGCTCAATCCTCACTTCTCTAATTTTCACATAGTTGCTTCTTTCTCATCGTTGAAGTGTCAACAGAAGTGTCACCTCCTCAGAGAGGATGTCCCTCATAATTCTAGCTAAAGCATTATTCTATTTTCTTTTAAACACTTTTCATTATTTGAAATTACTCTATTTACAGGTCTAATTACTTCTTGTCTCTCTCCTCCAACTAAAATATAAGTTCCACAAGGGCAAGGCTTTTGTCTTCAACCCTAGAAAGTTCCTGGCACAAAGCATATGCTCAATGTCTGTTTGTTAAATGACTGACTAAATGAATGACTGATTTAGGCAAATGGGGAACAAGAAGAAACCCCAAACTGCAGACAATCCTGGTGGAAAAAGCAAGACACTGGAGCCACACTGCCTGACTTTGCTTCCTAGCTTTGCCATTTAATAGCTGGGTGAGTTTAAACAAGATACTTCTAAACTGTGTGTTTCAATTTCCTTATGGGTAAAATGATGATATTAACAGTGCATATTCACAAAGACATTGGAAGGAATGAGTTAATACATGCAAAATACAATAGTACCTGGCACAAAGTAAGTACCACATAAGTGTTTTATCTCTTAGGCTGTTAATATATGTAAAATACAACAGTACCTGGCACAAAGCAAGTGCCACGTAAGTGTTTTATCTCTTAGGCTGCCTCAGATTCAACATGAGAAGACATTGAGCTTCTAGATTTAGAAACAAGGTAAGTGAAGTTCAAAACCAGAATGGGAAAGCAATTCTGCCAAAACTCCATCATCCCAAGATTGCTGGAGTGCTCAGACTGGCTCAGGGCCAGGGAGTTTGTACCACTCATATCAAATTCTATGTGAAAGCTTCCTCCTGGAGTTATGCAATTGAGTGGTCTTTGCTAGGCAAGGTAGGGAGAGTAAGAGCATAACAATGCAGCTGCAACACTTCACAACACCAAACTCCCTTCATGTCCTCTTTTGCTTTCTCTAACCCTTTCGACTACCACATAAGGCCCTATCTTCTCACTCTGTTGGAACAATTTAGCTGCCATTTACCTTACATCAATTTCAACTGCTTTAATCTCCAGCCATATCATGAAACGGTGATGGAGGCAGGAATGGTGGTCCAAGAACATCTAGGTCAACATCTGAGGAAACCTCCAGTCTTGGCAGGCTACTCTGAATTCCACCTCTACCACCTTTAAGATCTAATAACCATTCCTTCTCAACCCCTCCCTCTCCTAACATGTCTTAAAATATTAAGAGATGGGGCCGGCCCAGTGGCAGTGGTTGAGTTCATGCGTTCTACTTCGGCAAGCCGGGGTTCACAGGTTCGGATCCTGGGTGCGGACCTAGCACCACTCATCAAGCTACACTGTGGCAGTGTCTCACATAAAATAGAGGAAGATTGGCACAGATGTTAGCTCAGGGCCAATCTTCCTCAAAAAAAAAAAATATGTATATACATACACACATATATATATTAGGGAGTGGGGATGAGCATGGGGAAAAAAATGAGGTTTCTTGTTAATCTGGGAAGATAAGAGGTTCACAATTGTTACACCTTTACAGCACAGGTCTATAAACAGAGCTAGTAAAAACTAAATGGTTAAAAAAATATTGCTGGAAAGTTAAAAATAATCTCACAAAGTACTGGCAAAAGCAGACTGTAAATTTTAATTTCAACATCACAAGCCAATAAACCATAACAGCAAGTTTCAACATCTTTAATGTACTCCAACAGTCGATCCCAGTAACTGACTCTATATTTAAGTAGACAGAATTCAATTACTGTACTGCAACCAAGTAAGTTTATTTCAAATTTATTTTGAAATTAGGGGAGTAATAACATAAAAGGAATTCAAAATTTCCATAACATTAAAAAACCCAACTTATTCTATGTGCTCATGTTAAAAATAAAAAAGGGAGAATGATCTTCAATTATAATCAACTCTTCACTTAATCCAAAAGACAATCTTTAAAGTAGCTTGTTTGCCAGAGTTACCGAGCTGTAGCACAGTGGGAGGCCAAGACTAATTAACTAAATGAATCCCTGTGTAAATCACCTATAGATTTATAACCAATAATCTGATTTATTACCTATCAAAACTACTGTAAATTGAGAAAATGTTTTTCCTCTTAGGCTAAAGTACAGTTTATAACCTTCCTAAACTTAGAGGGCCAGAAACAAATTTAACAAGTAATCAAGCTCATTTGCACTTCACTCAGAGAGCACGTCAAAGTCATAAGATAAAAACAAAAATCTATTTTAATTTTCATAGGACTGACAGAGAAAAAGATACTTTATCACATTCACTGTTATCTTTGTAGTGTTTAGTATGCAGAATATTCGGTCTTTATTCTAATACAAATCCCTCATGCTTCTGATGAGAAAATGTCAATGCTAAAATCCTGATTAAACTTTTGTGCCTTACAGGATACATTATGTACAGCCATATGCTGTACAGCAACGTTTTGATAAACAATGGACCACATATATGACAGCAGTCCCAGAAGATTAGTACCGTATAACCTATGTGTGTCAGGCTGTGCTATCTAGGTTTGTGTAAGTGCCCTGTTGTTGACAAACAAAAACTTCAAAGGGGGCAGGCACCAGTGGTCACTGGAGACGCAGTGTGTAATGCAATGT